CATTTTATAACGGCAGGGTCATTTTTGGATTCAAATTTAAACGGGAGTTATAATTGATCCATTTCGAATACCACAAGGTCATTTTTGGGTCTTTTCCCCGTAATAAACTGACTTATGAATACTCCTGTGTGAAACAAGATGAAGATCTCCCCAACCACACCTAGAACTCCAAGCTGCAAATATGGTGGGGACTCACAGTTTGAGAACTATTAATTACAGTTGATTGTGTAAAGAAGTACTAAATAAGATAAAGAGTAACAAATATTGTTTCAAAATTGATGTACGACATAATACTTTTTCCTTTCTATTTTTTTTCCCCCAAAAGATAAAATAAAAAATTAAGGACTTGGCAACTTCAAAACTTGCACCTTGCAAATAATTTGACCATGAAATATGCCATATAGCCTATCCTATTTGGCCAAGGTTCTTCAAGGCCAAACTGAACTTTTTTTTCAAAGTTTTAAGTGTTTGGCCAAGCTTTTAGAAGAAAAAAAAATACTTTTAAATAAAAGCGGAAGCAGTTTTGGAGAAAATGAGAAAAATAACTTCTCAGAAGCACTTTTTTGAATAACACTTTTGAAAAAAATACACTTAAAATACTTTTAAAAAGCTTGGTCAAACACTAATTGATTCTCAGAAATATTTTTCTAATTAAATAGCCAAACACAAACTGCGAAAAAACACTTTTGAGAAAAAACACTTTCTCAAATTAAGCATCTTCTGATTTTAGAAGCTTGGCAGGCTAATAGTCAGCTAAAGTTTGGAATGGCTGCGGATGCTGAAATGAAAATATGTCGATCCGGAATTGAAAATTGCAAAAGGAAATTATAGGAACCACTTCACCACATGTCCAATGACACTCCTGATTAGGAAGGACTAGCAAATTTCAAAAACCATATATAGGAATTTCCATGAGACAAAAAATAATACAAATGTGTTATCGGTTGGACAAGAATTGATATTAGGAAACTGAAAGCAATGTGACAGAAGAATCAAATTTCAGTCTCATACTTATGAGACAATCTTCAATGACATTACACAGATGGAATTTGAAAAGGAAGCCTTCACACCTAAAAATCCTACAGATCAAAAGTTGTAAACTACTGACCAGATTAGCAGAAACCAGCCATAAACCCTGTGTAACACATAGCCCCATGGGACTCTCGTTGCCAAACAGAGTAAGCTTTGTGGTTTTCTGGAACCACTTAGGCAAATATTGCAAGCCATTTATCTGATTCAACATTCTGCCAACCTTACAATAACCTGCTTAGTGTTTTGATAAGCACTTTCAAGTTGCGCCTAGTAGCTTCATCGCCAGTGAATCCCATAATATCGGAGCTAATGCTCTGCGGAATGCAACAAATGACGAATCACAAAGCATGAAAGCAATTGCCACATATTAGAATGGCTATACCACACAGGAAATTACCTCAATATTCTTCAAGGTGAAGACCAGCGTATATATGGACTTCCGTACCAATTCAGTGTTCTCAGGAGTCATGACCGTGGAGTGTACTCTCCTGCAATTCCGTTCATAAAAGACCATAAGCATATAGTGACATTGTTTTGCCATATGCCTAAAGCAAACGGTAAGAGAGGCAACCTCAAAGTGTCCATAACTTATGCATCAACTAGAAGAGCTACAAGCTTTTGAACTTTGTTTTTGTTGTCAATAGAAGAAACTCACTGCTTATATAAGGAAATTAGAAACCTTTAACCCTTTTGTATATTACATGTACTCCACCAGGAAAGCACCCAACGGTATGGCCTACTGGTCAATGAAGTGAGTTGCAAACCTTGGAGACCAGGGTTCAAGCCTTGATATGTTATACACACCTTTGCGGCCAATCAAACTAAGACACATAAATGAAAGTTTGGGTGAAGTAATGTATATGGGTCAATATGCTCGATAAATACAAATCTCAAGGTTTCAGGGATAGCTATGTCTTCCAAATGTTGAATGAATTGACACAGGTTTTAACGCAGATCACATATATCTCGGAAAAGAAAGACGCATCACATCTAGAGCTCCACGATGTGAACTAGGTGGTTCTCGAATTTAAAAAAGATAAAAATAAATAAATAAAAAGTGTACAAACCACATATAGCTCACACAGGCATTAAGATACAGTCAACTGGTATATAACATATTCATATGCATACAGTGTGTAATTATTTGTTACCCTCTGAATGTAGTGCCTTATTTTTATATCTGTGAAATGTGTTTGTTAAGCAATGCAGTGGGTAGTGTAAAGTACATATTCTCGTTAAACTCGCTAGCTGCTTGATTGAACTTTTTCTTTCATTAGCCTTGTTTACTCCAAATTAAGCTACAGAATTTTTGGCCTAACAGGTGAGAAGCATGAGCAAAACTTAATTTGTTCGCTTAGTCCCATTCTCAGCCAAAGTAACAAGTATCAAGTACATCCTATGATTTACTTTTACTGAATCCTCTTTGCATTTCTTGTTCAAATGGCTGAGACAACAACATGGCTTAAAGGATGATCGTTCAAGCTCCTTGGAGGTCATGACAGTTTCTGCGGACCAGGGTCTAATAGCATGGGATGACCAAGTTTGGAGAAATTTTATTTGACATCTGTATTAAGGGAAACGTTGAGTTTCATAGTTGTATCACATGAGTTGTGTAGGTGCTTACAAAGGGATTTATAAAGGTCTTAGGCTACTCGAACCGCTGTCGGAAGGTTTGGTTGAATGCTCGGATTCTTTCCCATAGTCTTTTTTACAGTCTTTTTTAGAAAACTTTGTAAGGTTTGGTTGGATTCTTTTACATGGTATCAAAGCCAATCTTTTCTGTGAACATCTCACTAATGTTCGAATAACACGTGTAAAACAAAAATCAGTTACAAGTGAGGGAGGATGTTGAGTTATATAATTGCCCCATATAGGTTGTGTAGGGGCCTTCAAAGGGTTTATAAAGGTCTTGTACTACACAGATTGCTTGAGAGTTTTAGGGTAGATTCTTAGATTCTTCATGAGTAGCAATGCTATAACTCCATTAAAGATCCTATGAGACTGGTGGAGATAGAGAGAAGTTGAAGTTGAGGAAGGGAGAGACAAAGTGAGAGATCAAGCATTTCAAGGCACGCCACCCTTCTTATAGATTTCCTTTAATTATAGTAATATCTGCATTCATTGAGTTATACCGAAAAGTTGCAAAGAGATCTTCAAAATGCTGGTTAAACAGTTGATAATAGGATATCTCCAGTTAAGGGAACTAACATAAATTATAGATTCACCTTATATCCTCAGAAGCTAGTGTCAAACTTCTCGTCAAACTCTCAACTTCCTTCAGTAAGCCACTATCACGAACATCAGCTAGTAAAGGTTGGACATCCTCAGCCATGGCTTGAATCTGAGATGTCACTACATCAAAGGTACAATATTCATATATGAGAATATACTACATGCCTGTGAACACCACATAAATTGCTCAAGCAGCACAATAGGATAAGTGCAATTTTATGCTCAACATTGACAACTGTTTCAGTTTACCCCCCACCCCACCCCTTCCCCATCTACAAATGGCGCTATGGCTTGATACTGATGACTGCGGTATAGCAAACACATGTTGCAGCAGTACTGACTAATCATAGTTTTACATTGACCACCTGGCATCTGACAACCAAATAATAGCTATCCAGTTGCTTTTGACATATGTAGAATATGCACTACATGCCAAATTAGTGTACTAAATGGACATCTATAACTCCAAACTGGATTAGATAGAAAATTGTCGAAACTTGAGCATTTTTCCCGCAGATAGAAATGGCGCATGAAGCACAAAATGTGGGTTTTCGACAGAATTCTCTAACAGACAGACGTACTAAATCTGATAATAATCAAACAAACTTATAATCATATTCTGAAGCACTTCTTTAATAGTTCCACTATGTCCAATGAATTTTAAAAATCAGTACACAAAAATAGATATTAAAACCAACGGATAAGAGTTTGATTTGCCCCTCTACTAACATAAATAGGCCTTATTTACCCTCTGTTTACGTTTTCTATCAAAAATATCCTTACAGTTATACATTAGGTTCATATTTACCCCTTACACGTTAAAATGGGTTACATTTGCCCTTCGTTATACTTTAGGATCATATTTACCCCTTTACTCTTCAAAAAGGGTTACATTTGCTCTTCGTTATACTTTCTTGACATATTTATCCTTACAA